CAGAGCACATTCAGCCTTCATAACATAAAATGACACTGTGTTATGGTGACAAAAAACAAAACAAAAACATTAAGTCCAAAAATTGACACCATAAATCAGATTACAGGCATAGGTTCTTTATAAAAAGAAAACCATCACATCCCTGTCATTACTCTTCTTCAGTGATAGAGCTTGGGTAATGTTTCAAACTGTTAAACACTGCCACCAACTGTTCAGGAGGATTATTACCCTAAATGTTGTTTCACTGTGGAAGGGGTGTGTGCAGCAGGGTGGCCAATGGGGTGGCCAAAGATTTGTCTATGGTGGCCGTGTACAGGAGGGTGGCCAATGGGGTGGCCAAAGATTTGTCTATGGTGGCCATGGCCACCCCTGGCCACCCCTGGCCACCCCTGGCTCCGCCCCTGCTGTTGTGGTCTCTAATAGTCTCAAAACCAGTTAAATCCAGAGTTACATGTTTCTCCTTCAAAAATTGTTCCTATAAAACAGAAAAGTTGCTTTTTCTTCACTTCCAGTTCATCGTGTAGTTTTAGTTTTAGTTTATCATAATCAGGACCTCCTGATTCTGGTCTAAGTCCTCAGAGCCCTCCTTCAGGACCCCCACCCTGCAGGCCCCATCTCATCAGCAGCTCTTCTGTCCCTTTCAGTCCGGTCCTTTCTGACTTCTGTTTGTCTTCAGTATTATCTGGATTTTATCTGCGAGCTGAGAGCAGATCCTCYTGAGGAGGTCTTCAGGAACAAACAGGACTCCCAGCGGCTCCAACCCACCAGAGAAAAGACCCCAGAAGGACTTATTCAGACCCCTGAAGTCTGGACCCAGGCTCAGAGGATGTTCCTCCATCGCTGAAGAATCCTTTAGGTTCTGTCGAACAGAAGATCAGAAACAGGAAGCAGCTTCGATGTTCTGTTTCATCTTCTGTCCATCTGAGAGATGAAGGCCAGGGGCCAAAGGTCAGGGGGGTTGTGGGTTCGAAAACACCTCTGAAGAAAAGAGTTTCAGTTAAAGATCAGGTCAGAGAAGCAAACAAGAGTCTGTGTTGGGATTATTCTCAGGGTGGTTGTTGTTTAGTGGATCAGCTGACCCTGTGTGTGTGTGTGTGTGTGTGTGTGTGTGTGTGTGTGTGTGTGTGTGTGTGTGTGTGTGTGT